ATAAGAAAAGCAATTAATAAGGACTAACCAGTTTTCCTAAATTTAAAAATATCTGGAAAAAAAATTCCCATTTTAAAAATGGCAAATCACTAGTCAGTTATCAAACAATGTTAAATTTACAAAGAACTCTAGTATCTTTTGTTTATTCAATTCTTTGGGGAAGAATTTCTTAAAAAATATAGGAAGGGTAGAATAATACAACTCCAAAGTCTACCTCTTTCTGAGACAATGAGTTTGGCCAAATGTTCTCTAGAAGCTCCTTTGTAATACTGTTTTAACACACAATGTGGACTCTGTTTAAGATTTACTGTCTTTTAACTATATAAATTGACATACTTATAATTTTAGAAAAGTTCAAGTCATGAATACTCAGAAGCTACTCTTGATAAAGAAAATTGCATATTTGGTTACCAAATCTAATTTTAGATATAACTTTGCTCTAGATACCTCTTGACTTCAAATTTAAATTCAAATTTAAAAGTTTTCCTGGATTGGAATTAATTGTAATTAATTTAATTCCTAAATTAAAATGAGAACTTAGCTCACTCACTAGCTTTTCTGCCAGTACTTTTGTTTGATTTAAGAGGCTTGAAATGAATAGAGAGTATTCTATTCTGGAATGTGCTCTCGTCATATTTTAATAGCTGTGGGAATAATGAAAGCATGTTTATGATTTTATTTTCTTGGTCTTTTAGATTAATGTGATCAAATAAGATACATATCTTATTTAAGCTACGATTAAAATTAAATTCAATGTCTTAGAGCATTTTTGTAAATCAAATTAAGTAATTCAAAAGTGAAATCACCTCTAGATCTTTAATAATGTCATGTAGTTCTGAATCAGCAGTGATAAAAGAGGTTAAAGGTGAATATATATTTGATTCACTTGACTTTGATGTCATTTTTCTTCTCTCTTTCTTGGTTTCAGACATCTCTCTGTCGGGTATTTGCAATGAAGAAGTAGACTCTATAGCATTAATAGACAAAAGGTCTATAAGAGAAAAGGTCTTTTCAAAACACAAATTTTCTTCTTGATGTGCTTGAGAATGAAGGTTTTCCATTTGTTTTCTGTTGGTAGAAATTACGGAGCCTGAAAAATCTGGCAAAAACTCTGAGGTAGACATATTTTCTTGCTTTGCAAGACTGTTGTTACATTCTTCCTCGATCTCTGCTTTATATTTAATTTCATTTTGCACTTTCCTTTCTTTTGTCATTTTTAATGTCAGTCCACTGACATCTGATCTTGTCTGAGCATGACAGAGTTTCCAATGTTTCTTCAATTTCCTGTTTCTCTCCTTAGCTCCATGAGTATTGGTATTTGAGGAATCAATTCCATAAACTTTTAAGCCATACTTCAAAGACAAAAAGGAACTTAGGTAGCCTTTACCAGAACCCAAGTCAATCACCTAAAGTAAGAAAAACAGAATGAATTAAATGATTTTAATCAGATGATAGCAGAAAGCATTGGAGATTTTTTTTTTTTAAAGCAAGCAAACAAATGAGTTGTAAAATTTACACAACCTATTATGTTTTTTATTTTAATTTGATTCCTATTAAAAACCAACCACTCTGATCACTTTTATTCAACATTTTTCTAGAGGTTCTAGTCAGCATAAGTCAAGGAAAAGAAGTAAAAGACATAAACAATGTAAAGCAAGAAGTAAAAGTGTCTTTATTCATAGATGACATGATTGTGTCCACAGAAAATCCTGAAGAAAGTATAAAAAAGCTAACAGTAAATGAATTTAGTAATGTGTCAGGGTACAACGTCAATGTAAATTAATAATGAACCATCAACATATACGATATAGTAGCAAAGAACAATTACAGCTTGCTTTAGCAGTCAGAGAAAACTCACAGGGCAGAAATGTAGATACTGCATTATAAAATATCTTGATTGTGGAGGTTACATGAACATACACACACACACACACACACACACACACACACACACATTAACAAAACTCCAACTGTACAATTAACATGAGTTCATTTATATCTCAATAAAGTTGGGATTATGGAATAATTTTATATATTGGCTAGAAAGTGGTTAGGATTCAATAATATTTGATGAGTAAATATATTTTACACAGTAATATTTGTAATGAAAAATCTGTAAAATTAAGGCCACAGGAATACTGACTGAAATCCTTTTCACAAAGTATATATTATTCTTTGTGCCACTTCTATACTTCCCTGGTTCTGCATTGTTTTACCAAAGTAAATGACTGGGTTTTGGCCTTGGTTTCTATATAAAATTTGAGTCCAATTCTTTTAGTCTCTGTCACTCTGCCTCATTCAGACCAGTCTTCCTTTAAGAACAGGACCTTTATCCCATTCTTCCATTCTGTGACTGGATTAATACCGTCCACGCACAGAACCTCTACCCAGCTTAGTTGACTACCAATTATCTGAATTTTCTGTCTTTAGGGCTCTGTTCTCTCCAGTGGATTTGCTGTTATTGATGCCTAAACTGCCTGATCTTGTTATGCCTCTTTTACCTCTAAATAAACTATGCATCTGTTCCTCTGGAATCTATTCCCATCATTATTACTCTTAATGGATATTGGCAGGCACCTGGAGGATATTTAGAAACAGCACTCTCCCCTAAGATTCTGATATAGTACCATGGGGGAAGGTCTGGGTGGGGGTTGGGGTGGGATACTTGCCCCTTCTACTCCAGCTGAGTATCACTGCAATTGTGAGCCTGTTACTGATACTGATAGATACTGCTTAGGTATGATACTCTGGAGAAACGGCTGAAAACTAGTATTGTCTTATCTCTTGCCTCTAGCCCCTACCCTAGAGATCTATGTTGCCACAAGTGGATCTGCAAGTTATCATAGTTTTCTAATCATCCTCAAACTCTCCATAACTCTGGGTGAATCCATTGAAAAGATTCTAATAACTAAAAAAACTTACAAAAGGGAAAATTTCCCATTACCCCCACAGATCTTGTAGGGAGAAGAAAAATAACTTGCTATTTTCATAAGCCAGAGATAAGAAAAATAACTTAATATTTTTATAAGCCAATGTGGATAATTATTAATTTTATTTTCAGACACCACTACCTTTCATAAAAGCTATTTTTCAAAATAGGAATGGATCGTGAGTCATACACTTTGAAAGAATCCAAGCCCTAAAAATATAATTACTCTGGGTTACTACAATGAGGCAGGTAACCCAGAACACAGCTTTGGAACCCAAATCCTAAAAACACCTAGCAGCAAACAGTTTTGTAAAATGTCATCTTCATAATGCTGCCTCAGGTTGGAATGACAACATATCAAAGAGAATTACTCTTAACTTCCATCCACTCCAAAAAGAGTAATTTGTGGCAAAACACTAACAGTCATGTCTTTTTATTATAAATTGGGTATAATTCTAGTGTACTGGGAAATGAGAGTATATGTTTAAAAAATCTGACATTTTAAGGATCTGATGTTTAAAGGATCTGATGTTATTATTTAACAACATTTTATAGACTAGATAATGATAGTAAAAAATGGAATTTGCAAGATACCAAAAAATAGCAATAGTTTTAACACTTAAAAATATAGGGAAAATATTCTTACTTGCTTTATTCCATAGTAAGCAGCAATACTGCCGATCAGCTCTGACATTGCCTGAACTTCATGAGATTTTTTCACATTCATAAACTCAACTGGCTTCACAGTTTCACCTGAATAAAAATAAAACAAAATTAAAATACTGCTATAAATGAAGCAAAATTTAATATAAAGTATCAGTTGATGTTCATGTTATTTTAAAATTAAGCATGAAAATAATACAGAGATTCTATTGTGTCTGGATGATACATCTCTATTATCTTAATAGTTATCCATCAAATTTGAACTAATAGAATGAAAAGATTCATAGAACACTATTAAAAAATGTTCCTTGACACAGTAAGCAATTAACTATAAAGGAAAAGACTAATAAACTGGACTACAAAAGAAATTTTTTCATCAAAAGACAACATTAAGAGAGCAAAAAGACAAGCCACAAATTGGGAGAAGGTATTTCCGATATACGTATCTATATAAAACTTATATCTAAGAATAGAAAAAAAAAACAACAAACTCCCACAAATCAATAAGAAAAAGACCACCCAACAGAAAAATGGGCAAAAAACTGGGACAGTCATGTCACTACCTGTGCTGGTGCTACTACAGTAGCTACTAACCATATGTTATTATTTAAATTTACATTTAAAAAAGCTTAAATCACATAAAATTGCAAATTAAGATTCTGACCTACACTAGCCACATCTGAAGTATTCAACAATCACATGTGGCTAGTTTCTACTGTACTGAGCAGCACAGCTACAGAACATTTCCGTCATTGCAGAATGTTCTAGAGAACAGCACTTTAGAGTATATACTATATACTAGGTATAAAAGTATATTAAAATGGCTAAAGGGCATATGACAAAGTAGTCAACATCATTAGTTATTTGGGAGTTGGGTGGTGGGGAATTGAAATAAAGGGCTGGGATGGTTATTATGGCATTAACAGTGTTCACATTTGAGAATTCTGAGGTGTAGACTTAACCGGGGTTTCAACAAGGTCTTTCCAGGTGTACATGGTGATTACTTGGGGTCCTGTAGATGGCAGGCAGCACCTTCTTGGCAATATAGAGAGGGCAGTTTGGGACATGGTCTCTGTAAAAGAAGTTTGGATTCCACAATGGATATAATGCCATTCTGCTGGCAGATACTAACCTAGTGAACAAATATGCTAATGTACTCCAGAATGGGGAATATAGCCCCCAACCCTCACCTATCACCAACATGCACCCCTACTTGGCTAAGTCAACTCTTTCTTATATGGGCAAAAGACAGAGTCTATCCTGACCTTGAATGGTGCTTTTGCTGTCTGTTCCTGCCAGGGATACAATGTCCTTGTTCACCTTGATGTCCCAAATGTGGTCCTTAAACTTTATAAATTGGGAGAAGGGCCAAGGATGCTATTCCAGAGGGATATCCCAGTGGGATGCTATCCCACATATTTATTGCCAGTCAGAAGCAGTTAGGATAGAGCGCTAGTTCTCATTAGTGCTTTAGGTGCCAGTAGACTGCAGTTCTCATGGTAATGTTGCTGGTGAATTCATTTACAGCCAGAATGCCTTTACCAAGAGCCATGATTCAGTAAATAGCCCCTTCTTTTGCCCCAGGAGAAACACTGAAATAATTTTGCTTAAAATGGTTAGAGAGATAAAAGAGGAAATAAAAATAATAATGAAAGAATTGGACTCGAAGGGAAAAATGGAGAACTTTACAATGGAGAACTCAAGTGGAACTACCTTTACCAAGTGAGCAAATTTAGTATTTACCAGTAATGGGACAAAATTACATGTACTTCCTAATATTATACATGCAAAAGGAATCACTTAAGTAGTATACCTGTCAAAAATACATAGCCTGAATCTAATCATGGGAAAACAATCAAACAAATCTGGCCTATATGCATCAAAGGTATCAGTATCAGGAAAAACGAAAGAAAAGGTGAGGAACTATTCCAGGTTGAAGAAATTAAAGAGACATGCCAACTAAATGTCAAGCGTGAGCCTGGATTGATTTCTGTTTGATTGATCTGACTGATTAGAAATCTGATTGATTTCTAAAAAAATGAGTATAAAGGATACTTTTGAAAAAGATGAGAGAAATTTGAATATAGACTATATATTAGACAATACTACTGTATCAATGATAAATTCCTGAGTGTGCTAATGTACTACGGGATATGTAGGAAAATGTTCTAATGAGATACATGCTTAAGTATCCAGGAGTAAAGTGTTATGATATCTATGGGGCAAAATGTTAACACATGGTGAATCTAGGCAAAAAGTATACATGGTTCATTGTACTAT